TAACTCTTAAAAGAATTTGTAATCAAATTCTTTGATTTATTAAATACACGACTATTTAATATGTTTACACCTTATTAGTGTTCGGGACCTCCAGTCCCTCATTTTGCTTCTGTATGATGAGGTATAGTAATACCCCGGTCAGTATGGAGGAAACAATACCGCACAGGCCATGGGTCACCTCACCATTGGTGAGGTTCATGATAATTCCTATGATATGCAGCACCAGTAGAGTTGTTACAATCCATTTGATCTCTTTGATGATACCCACCAGACCCACGACCGCTATTAACAGTGTAATCACGACGCCTCCCAATGCTATTGACACTGTGTAAAAGGGGGTAGGGTGTAAAAGAGTTTGGCATTAGATTCATTTTCAATATAATTTTGTAATATGTAATATGTAATAGACTATTACAGTAATATTATAAGTATAGTATATTTTAAGAATTACCATGATTTTTATTGATAGCTTTGTTGATATCTGGATCCTTTTCTGCTAATTCGAGCGCAAGGATTACTATCAGAATCACACACCCAATAATTCCCAGGATATATAACACTCCTAATGCTATTTTGACCGCGATCAGTGTTTTCTTATGTTTAAACGCCATTATATTATTAATCAAATATTATACTTTATTTAATAACAAATTTGATGCAACCTGATCACAATTCAGTGTGTATTTAAAAATGAGTTGTCAAATATAAAATACTTTACAATTCAAAGTCAAGGTTTTTATACTTTCAATTTTAAAACCAGTTTTATTTTATTTGTTTATGTATTAATGTGTCTGAGAAAAATTTGTTGTATTTTCTCAGAATATAATTCATATTTATTATGCAATCAATTTAATGAATAATTTCATATTTCTAGTAAAATCTAAAAGGTCTTAGCATTTTAATTGCTTACAAATTAATACAAAATATGTTATAGACATGACCTTTTAGAATTTTACTTAAAATATGAAAATATTCATTGGATTTGTTGTCTCATATTTTTAGTAAATCTTAATCAATATCTTTAAAAAATTAATTTTTATTGTTTTTTAAAACGGATTATATTTGATGAATACAATTAGATATAATTTTGGATAAACGTACGATAATAAGTTAATACATAATATTATAACTTATTTATTGTACAGAGTAAGGATTAATGATTTTAATGGATGTATAAGTTTTGAATAAGTAAAATAAGTTTATTAAATTCACATCCATTTGATATATTTATGACTTATCGGTGGGCGAGTCCTCCAGCCCCTCCTTTTGCTTCTGTGTAATGAGGTATAGGTATACAGCGGTCAGTATAGCACACAATATACCCCACACGGCAGACACCACTTCACCAGATGTTAGGTTCAGGATAATTGCAATTATTTGAAACACCAGTAGAGTTGAGACAATCCATATGATCTCTTTGATGATTCCGACCAATCCTATGAAAGTGA